TTTTTTTTATTGATCATTTACTCTTCCTACATTCCTCTTCTCACCTACTTCTTTGTCCTTGAAGATTTACTTTTAGAGAGGCATTTGTTCCTAGAGATGAACAAAACTTTTCTTCCATTCCACTTCACTTCTAAATTTTCTCTTTTTGTCTCTTGATCGCGTTGGTTTCTTCGACTGTTCATGTTTGAAAAAAGACAATGTCGTGCTCCAGTAATTAAGGTTAAGATTCACTAAGGGACAATTTTCACTTTTCGACTGTTCTTCTTAGATTCTTCAATTATTATGAGTGTGAAAAACGTTGTCATTTTGGCCACGTCGGAAATAAAGCACACATATTACTTGGGGATGTGGCTCTGATCAGTTATATGTTTCGCTTAAGTTCCGTCCTAACTTGAATACGAAAACTTATCAAAAATTTAAATATGAGCCTTGCTATAGGCACGCACTCCCCTCACAAGAGTGGGGCCCATGCTTTTTTTTCTTTTATTGTTTAATATTTTTTTTTTTTTTTTAATTATTGGGCATGCTCTTGTGAGGGTAACCACCCATGTACAAATAGCGAAATTCTTTAAATATAGGGTAAATCATGACTAAGATCCCAACCTTTTTTTCTGGTTACGATGGTTCATATTATTGATAGTAACTATCCTTGGAGCAAAATTTCACTCACTGGCACTCCGTCCACTTCCTGGTGGTGGCCCAACTTTTAAGTAAAATGTTCTTTTGTTTTAATATGCTCACTCGTTATCAAACTAGCAAAAATGTTTTCGCTGACAGAAATATTTGTTGAAAACACGATTTCGAAAAACAATTGAAGACTTTTAATATGAATATGTGACTGTGAGGGTTAAAAACAACAATATAAAAAATTAAAAAGGAGAAAGAAAAAAATTCAAAATTTCCCCGAGCCCTGCACCACTCCTCCAACCCATGCAAATTATTTATAATGAAACTAGGTTGTCGTATTGCTCATAAATGCTTTTGCAAATTGTAAATTGAAACGACATAATAATCCGACGTAACATTGTTTTAAGCCTTTTGATTATAGTGGTAAAATTGTTTAACGTTCTGTCAAAACAAAGAAGAGTACTAAAATAGAGTCTTGCAGTCGACCATCTATAAAAACGGTGGGCACATTAAGCTCTTAACAAGATAAATCAGACGGTCAAATAAAGAAATTGAGTGATCCTCCAATGGCTTCTTACTTTATCTCATCTTCCTCTCTCTACATCTATCTTTGCGGTGCGATCGTACACACATATAAAACTGATGCCAGATGGGAAAAATAAAAATACAACAAGGCTTTGATAGGCGAACTAGTTGATGCTATGCGAACCCATTGATGGCAGGTGACAAAACCCAACAATTGTCTGACAGGAGAACTGCTAGGGGAACCAGCCGATGGCATGCGACTAAACCAACAAGGGTTTGGCAGGGCACACTCTCAAATCCAACTAGGGCCACTAGTAGATAGCACAAGAGCTAGTTGATATAAGATGAATGAGCTCATGTTAGTCTACCTAGCTGATGGCAGTTGTCTGACCACCCACTTGATGGGAAATCAAAAACAAAACAAAAGTGGCAAGTAAGATAGTTTATGCTAGGCGAACTAATCGATGGCACGAGATAAAGCCCAACTGTTAGGAAATATGTAATTGGCAAATCTGTGACCAAGGATCAAAATGTAATAATTGTAAAGTCAAGGATTAAAATGTCATAATTGTAAGGTCAAGGACCAAAGTGTCAAATGTCCAATAGTTCAGGGACTTGAGTTGCAATTAATCAAAGTGTTGAAGGCTAGGTCTAGGGTTGTGATGGATGCCTCGAAGTTGCAAACGGCGCGAGATTTCGCTAGAGTCACGCCATGATCTCGCTCGAGCCACGATTGCAGAACCACTGTCGCTAGATCCTCGCCAGCAGGTCGCTCGAGCGAAGTGGACGTCGCTCGAGTCACGCTGGTCCCTCGCTCGAGCGACCTATTTATCTGGGCAACATTAAATTTAAAAGCTCGCGAATTTTTGACGTGCTACAAGACCATATGTTGAGCCATATAAATAC